CACCCAAAAATCAATAGTATTCCTGTGTACAAACAACAAACAAACTCAGAGACAAATTAAGGAAACCATATCTTTCACAATAGCATCTAAGAAATTGAAATATTTAGGAATCAATCTAACAAAAGAAGTAAATGATCTATTCAGTGAAAACTGCTGTACTCTGGAAAAAGAGATTGAAGAGGATTTCAATAAATGGAAAAATATTCCTTGCTCATGGACAGGAAGAACTAATATTGTGAAAATGGCCATACTCCCAAAATTGTTGTACAGATTCAATGCAATTCCCATTCAACTACCATTAGCATACCTCACAGATCTAGCAAAAACATTGCTTAATTTCACCTGGAGCCAGAAGTGACCCAGAATAGCAAAAGCAATCCTGGGCAACAAGGACAAGTCAGGTGGAATCACAATCCCTGACCTGAAATTCTACTGCAAAGCCACTGTAGTAAAATTAACATGGTCCTGGTTAAAAAATAGACTGGAGGATCAGTGGAACAGACTGGAAGACACAGACATAACCAAAAACACACTCAGCCACCAAATCTTTGATAAAGGGGCCAAACAAACTTACTGGAAGAATGATAGCCTCTTTAATAAATGACGCTGGAAAAATTGGCCTGCCACCTGCCAAAGAGTGAAAATGGACCCAAGTCAATCACCATGCACCAAACTCAAGTCAATATTAAAACAGAAACACTAAATCTACTGGAAAAGAATGTAGGTAAAAACCTTGAAAACATAGGGTTAGGCAGAGAGTACTTGAACAAAAACCAAACTGCCCATGAAATACTTCAGAGAATTAACAACTTAGATCTCATCTTACTGATAAGTTTCTGCAAATCTAAAGAAATCAACAGCAGAGTAAAAAGAAAACCCACAAATTGGAAAAAATTTTTAGCCAACTGCCGATCAGACAAAGGACTTCTATCTAGAACATTTAAAGAATTAAAAAATGTCAGCCCCCCCAAATTCAAAGACCCAATCCAAAAATGGACAGCTGAAATGAATACACACTTCTCAGATAAAGAAATAAAATCACAAATAAATATATGAGAAAATGTTCAGCATGATTAGTCATTCGAGGAATGCAAATTAAAACAACACTGAGATTTCATCTCACCCCAGTAAGAATGCCTGTCATCAAGAAATTAACCAATAACAAATGCTGGTGAGGCTGTGGAGAAATAGGAACTCTTCTCCACTGCTGGCGGGAGTGCAGACTGGTGAAACTACTGTGGAAATCAGTTTAGAGATTCCTTAGCAAACTAGGTCTAGAGGTCCCATTCAACCCAGCTACTCCCCTTCTGGGTATTTTCCCAGAAGATCTGAAAACATTATAGCACAGAGATATATGTGCACCCATGTTCATAGCAGTGCAATTTGTACTTACTAAATTGTGGAAGCAAACCAAATGTCCACCCATTGATGATTGGATAAAAAAATTGTGGTACTTTTATATAATGAAATATTACTCAGGTGTAAGGAAAGATAAACTCAAGGCTTTTATAGGTAAATGATCACAACTAGAGACCATGCTCATAAGTGAAATAAATCAGACCTGCATGTGTAAGCATCATATTGTCTCACTAGTGTACAACCTGAAAGAGTGAATAAAAACTAGGAGGTATGATAGACATTTTGAAATGAAAAGAAAATGCTCAAAAGTAAAGGGCAACTGGGATGTGGGAAAAGAGAAGGGAAAGAAGGGGAAATTATGTAAGTATGTATGTGCAGGATAGCTAACATAGTTGTACTACTGTCTTCTATTTCTCTACAGAAAGGAAAGTTAATGATTACTTGTTTGATCAATCTTGTATATCTCTATTTGTTTTTCTGAGAAACCACTTCCAAGATATCAATACATAATGCAACAACCATGGCTAATTTCCTACAACTTTGTCTGTAACTCTGGTTTTGTTTTTGTTTTCTTTTGGTACTGGGAATCCAACTCAGGACCTTGTGCTTGTGCCACTGAGCTATATTCCTGGCCCTGTAACTCTGCTTTGTTTGTATTGTTCTTATGCTATTTTGTGAATGGATGTCCGTCTGTTAATGTGTTTTCCTTCTTTTATATTTTAAAATAAAAAAAATTATTTATATAATTTTGCATGCTTATATTGAATATATTCATGATTTTTCCTACAATGTTTATGTTAATAGGTCATTTCTTCTGCAGTGTAGTCACTATAGGATAGGGATATTTACCTCCACAACTTTAATTGCTGAAGTATTTAGCATGCTTTGAGAAAAATAATAACATTTGGGATGGGAGTGTTGATAAATTCACCAAGACAATGAGGTAAAGTATGAGAGCACTGTGAGCGTATACCCACAGATACTTTAATGTCTCCAGGATGTCACATCTCTACTGCACCTCATACAGAGGATTACAATGGTACAAACACTTATGACAATTTTATGCATGTACAGTTATTTGCTCATCTACCACATACACATCCCAAATAAACAAAGTATTTCTCATCTCCCTAAAATCATATTTTTTTTCCACACTTTAGCATTCTGGAAACTATGAGAAATTCTTAATTGATGGTATTTTTGGTTTTACAAAATATATATATATATATATTTGATTAATTTAAAAATATATATTTTCTAAATTCAAAGACAGTTGCATATCATTAAGAAGAAATTATTTCAAAATTTGCTGGGCTCCAAAATCTACATTCTTCTTAGATTAGTTATTTTCCTGGAATGGCAATATTATTCTCTAAGCTCTTATGGTAAGTCAAATATGAAACAATGAGCAATTGTCGAATTTAACTTTAACTATTTTCCTAGAAACAGAATTCTTTGTAAATGATTCTTTAATACAGAAAGCCTTGAGGATAGAGAACATGGCTGAGCTCCCATTGAAAATGAGCATTTTCTGGAGCTTTGGTTTGTATTACTATTATGCAGTTTTCCCGATAATGCTGGCTATGTCTAGGTGAGCGTGCATATTCCAACACTAGTTGAGGGTGGAAATTAAGACAATCCTGAAAGGACTTTTAACCAGCAATTTTTTCACAGCCACTTTTACCTCTTTGTTCCGTAAACTATAGATGATAGGATTCAACGTGGGGGTTAATCCAGCATATATCAAGGCTATAAATTTATCTATTTCCTGTGAATTCACTTCTGAGGGCTTCAGGTACATGGAGACAGCTGTCCCATAGAACAAAACCACCACAGTCAGGTGGGCTGCACATGTAGAAAAGGCTTTGCTTTGACCATCTTCTGAACGGACTTTCTGGATGCTGGAGAGGATAAAAACATACGAGGTACAAATGAGTAGCAATGGCATGGGGAGAAGAAGTATGCTGATCACTAGCATGATTAACTGCACCGTGGAAGTGTCTACACAAGCCAGTCTCAGGATAGCCAGAATTTCACATGTGAAATGATTGATGATACTGTTTCCACAGAAAGACAACTGCAACACAGCCACCGTCTCCACCAGGGCAGTGAGGCAGCCTGTTACCCAGGAGCCAGCAGCAATCTGCACACAGACCCTCCTGTTCATGATGATAGGGTATCTCAGGGGATTGAAGATGGCTACATACCGGTCATAGGCCATCATGGAGAGAAGTACACACTCGGTGGAGCCCATGGAAAGAGAGAAGTACATCTGAGAAGCACATCCTGAGAATGAGATGGTGTTTTTCTGTGAAACAAAGTTTGCCAGCATTGGAGCAAAAGCAGAAGAGGTGTACCAGATGTCCAGAAAGGAGAGGTTACTGAGGAAGAAGTACATGGGGGTGTGCAGGTGGGAATCCAGGATGGTGGTGGAGATCAGAATTATGTTGCCCAGCAAGGTGAATAGGTACATCAGCAGACACAGCATAAATATGACGACCTCAACTTTAGGGTAGTGAGAAAATCCCAGGAAGATAAAAACTGTTACAGATGTCTGATTTGCCTGAAACATTTTATCATGTTATGTTCACTACACCCACATAGATGGACTAGTATTGCATTTTATATATATTGAACAAATAATCCCTCCTTAACATTTTTTGGCATATTTTTCCTTCATATTAACTTATGTTATGTAGTTGCACGATTCTCTAGGTTAGTGATAGTGTTATTAATGCATACTTAAACAATCTGTCATTAGTATAATTTAAGTGGGAAATCAAACCCTCAAATTACTATTGTTGTTACAAGATTTTCCTTTTTGTTAATGCTAAGAGAGGTGGACTAAAATTGAGTTTACTTAGTAGACATTATGAAAGAAGGCAAATAAAAAATGTTTTGCTTTCTTTCTTTTTCTAAGACTACATTTGTAACAGATTTACTATTCTGTCATCTATTTACCTTTGAACCATTGAGATTATTTTCTTCCTCTAGTTTGGTAATAGTCTTCTATTCTAGCAGAAAAGTTCTGTTTCCTAAGTTTACAGTGTCTTCTGCCACTCCTAGAGCTTTGCCCAAAATTTAAGGAGTGAAAAACAAGTATAGATTTCTGCAGACACAAATTAATTAACTGAAAATCTTAGAAACAAGCCAAGCTTTCTTTTTCACACCTTAAAATAAGCTTTACAGTAGGTGCATGGAAGTTGTGTCTTCCATATTGCTATAGTTGTCCTGGTATCTGTGCTGTGCAGACATCCTCCAAGAGACCAGCCATTGGCACTAGAAAGCAATTTAAGGGGCGTGTTGCTTTTGCAAAGTTTCCAACTAATTACAGTTACAAATGTTTGTACAGGAGTACAAATTCTGAAACTCCAGGGATAATGTCCCATAGATCCAATTATAATCAGTAGTATGTCAGGTCTAATTGTAGTACTACCCAAATATGAAATAAACATATTCATATCAGCACTGTCTTGGGAAAGGGAAGCTTTACTTGTCTGCAGATTATGTTATGAAATTAGTCAGGATATTTAAAAGTTAAGGGACATGCATAACATTGGCATTTTCTTCTACAGATTGAAGGAGAGTTTCACAATATGTAAAACACTGTACCAGGTGTGAAATCCACAATTGATGGTGGAATGTGAACTCAGTAAACTCTTGCTCATCACGGCTTAACAGGAGGACTTACATGACAGTAGACATGGAAAATGAAGGTCCATCTGCTTTCGCAAGCACTTTTCCCCTGGTGAAGTTAACCTCACATAGAAAGAGCATTTTAACTTTTCAGAATGCAACGAAGTCCATCTCTTTGAGCGATGTTTTATAATCCCTGTTTACCTGTTTGTTTTCCTTGTGAGGATCTGATGGTTAAGAGGTTAGGTTGGTTTGGGGAAACAGGCTTTAAATTTCATCATGGAATAATTATAATTAAGTAAAAATAGCAGGCGAATTAATGGTAAGAAGTGGAGTACTATCAGAAATAAATATTACAAGGTGAAATAATCAAGAACACATTAAAAGTTAAAATGTACATAAAGAGATTTTCTTTCTTTTTTTTTTTAATTTTTTTTTTCCTGTACCAGGAATTGAATTCGTGACGTCGTGCTTGCCAGGCAGGCATTGTGCCACTGAGCTTAAATCCCCAGCTCCAAAATGTACATAAAGAATATAGCATGAATTTACAGCTGAAAGGAAAACACATATTTGTAGTTATATCTAGATATTTTTAATTCTTGTCTTCAATAATTGGCAATAGAAGTAGACAAAAATTCAGTACAGATTTAGGAGATTGAAAAAGACTACCAAAAACTGATGCACTGGACATTTAGAAGACACTATTGAACACTTTCAGAACATATATTCTTTTCCAGAGAATATGGCACATGCCCTTGGGATGGAATATATGCTGGCTCATGAAAAAAAAGTCTCAGTAAATTTTAAAGCATGGAATGCAAAAGAATTAAATTTGAAAGCGGTATTAGTAGTATAAGCAGAAAAATCTAAAATATTTGAAAGTTAAGTAATGTATTTGTAAATAACTGATGTGCCAGGAAGAAGCAACAAAACTAAAATATATTTTAAACTGAATGTTTATGAAATAAAATGTGTGAAAGTGTGTGGGATGAAGCCAAAGTTGTGTTTCGAAAAAGTTTCAAACAACTATAGTACAAAAGGAAATTTTAAATCAGATATATAAGATTGCAACTAGTTAAGAAAAAAGGAACAAAATAACTCAAAGTAAGCATAGAAAAAATAATAAAGAGAAGAAGAAAAATAAAACAAAAATACTATAGAAAAATGAACAAAGCCAAAGTTGACGTTTTGAAAGTATTATAAAATTGATAAATCCCTAGCTAACTGCACTGGTCAGGTTTCTGTTGCTGGGATAAAATAACTTGATATATACAATATGAAAAAGGAAAGGTTTCTTTTGTTTCACAGCTTCAAAGATTTTTTTATCCACAGTTGGCTGGTTCTATTTTTATTTGATAGAAATTGTCAAAAGTATTTAATTAACATGGTGTGATCAAGAAACTCAGAGAATGCTTGAATTTTATAAATTAATTAAAAAGAAAGGCACATTACCATTTATTCCCCTCAACTATTTCCCTTACTTTGAGCACATTATTCCGTCTTGATGGTATGTTGTTTACTGTAATAATTTTTAAAAAATCTAAACATTAATTGTATCTTTTGGTTACTCTTTATATATTACATATATACAATCTTTTGCTAAATCTATTACCATATATGTAAATGTTTATGAACGTTAGAGTATAAACATGTGTAGAAAATATTCAGATAATATGCGGTAGATATTTTATACTAATGGAACAAGTCAAATCCATTTAAAAATAACAGAAAGTGATAAAGACTTGCAATTGTGAGGATCCAGCGTTGTGTCGGAAGAGCAAAGGAAGACACACAGGCCAGTTTTCCAGTCAGAGAAGGAGCAGGAAGATTAAAGGTTAACAGCCCAGGGTGATAAGTAGTCTAGACGGAACCTGAGAGGCCAGACCTAAACAGTTCTATGTTGCCTTGTTTGCTGCGGCATTGAAGGCTTGGAGAAAACCGAGCTTGTCTAACGTGGGTGATGGGCACGCTATGGTAGTGTAGAGAGAAACTAGGAAAAGGCATTAAAGCTGGCTAGAAAGCCAGATGATCTGAGATCTGAGATTCTCTAGCAATAGCACGCTGCCACTAGGTGCCCATCTCTGGTTGTGGGATAATAAGCTGAAAGATTATCAGATAAAATTATCAGAAAGTAACGGGATGCATCAGGAGAACCTTCGAAAACAATGGTGTTAAGGAAACGAGAAATCAGAGCCGCAAATATGTGTCCTCAGGCCACACCCAGGATGTGTGAAATTCCTGGGGAAGCCAACAGCCTGATTTATGATTATTTTTAATTAGATGGCCCGGGCACTGCCAATGCAGTATTTCTAATGCTCCCGCTCCAGCTTCTGCTTGTCCCTCCATCCAAAAAGAAGAAAACTCATGCAAGCAAGTAAATTTCACATTTCCCTCTCTCTATTCCTGATTCAGAGTAAATTGTTTAATAAGTCACCAACATTAAACTACATGTTAGATGTCAGAGATAAGAGGGTAACAGAGCTGTCAGCCTTCCGTGAGCATCTTTTTGGTCTAACTGGGGAACAGCGCAATTTTAGAATTATTGTCAGACGTGGGGGTGAGTGCGTAACCTTTGCTGTCTTAGAAGAATTATTACCAGAGTTGGACTGCGAAAGTTATTAACAGCAGCGCAATGAGGAATTGAAAAAAACATTTCCGGGTAAGAAAATAACATATTTAAAGTTGGAGTGTTAAAACGTCATTTTGCATATAGGCAAAATAGAAATGTGAGTGGATCATTAAAATGTGAAAGGAGGTGTGGCAGGTGGTAAAGCTGGACTCCTCATGTGTGGTGGTCCACGCTAATTGAAGGGGTTTATGCTCGACATTTTAAGTACTAAGTAGAGACTTCCACTGGCAGAAAAGAATCAATACAACTTAAATTTTTAATAAACCACTTTGGTGGAACTTGGAGAAAGTATTGGAAATGAGTTAAGACTAGAACTCATCAAAGTAAGTAGGGACAGTTTGAATCCTGATACAGCAGGGCAGACAGAAATTCAGATTGCTTGGGTCACTGCTCACTGGACAGGATGACTCAGTTTAAGCAGTTAGAGTAACACAGCTGGACATAATTTTATAGAATTGAGAAAATATTAAAACGCCCTCTCAACCAAGACTATACTCCGGACTGGAAGGTGCATAATTAATGATTCATTTGACTTAATTTAGAAGCTCCTGGGAAAACCAAAGATGTCCTGACGAAGGGCACTGAAGGTCTGGGTGCCCATTTCAATGATCTCAGCAACAGCAGTTAGCATTCCTAAATCCTGAGACAAGCGATCCGATCGATATGTTGGCTTCAGGGAATTTCTTTGATACTTTACTCATCTTGCCTAAAGAAGACGGTTGTTCATCTCTGGCTGAAAAATTATTCTACTTCTTCAAAGTTGAGTCAAGATCAAGGGAAAGACAAATTTATATTTTAAGGAGAAAAACTGTTAATAAAATGGAGGACATCACACAGCCTTCCAAGTTTTCTAGAGGAGAGAGAGTGTGGAGCCCTGCTTCGGGTTTTTGCGGGGGAGCGTGTATCAGTGTGGTAGGACTGCCATGACAAAACACTGCAGTCTGGGCAGTTTAAACAGCAGACGCTGATTTTCACACATTTCTAGAATCTCAGAGTCCAAGACCAAGGTGTTTGCAGGCCTGGTTTCTTGTGAAGCCTCTCTTTGCTAACAGAAAAAGTCTCCCTTTGGTGTGTTCACAGGCTCATCTTTGTGTGTACATGTGTCAGATTAAGTCCTTTTTAAAGATCTCATTTTAACTTAATCACCCCTTTAAGGACCTCATCTATAAATATAGTTGTGGGGCCTAAGATGTCGAGAGATGAACTTTGGGGGACAAAATTTCAGTCCATATCAGAGCCTATGGTCACTTGTCACTGGGCTTTAGGAACACTGTCTATAAATATGGCTACATTCTGAGGTACCAGGG